TTTTTTTTCCAAGAAACGAGAGAATAATTTGGTGGTGGAAAAGTTCACATGAATATGGATTTGAGAATTAAAATAATTTATGTACTTAAATATACCATTTATTGTCTGTTTGTTTGTTTTTCGCTAGAAGTCACTAACTTAATGGCTTTCAATATTTTAACGTTGGCAAATTAAGAAATCTGATGAGACCATTATGAGTTTGTTCAGTCATGAATGATTGCATTTAATATCCAACAGGATAGGAACTCTTGTTAATAATTATTATTACTTAATATATTGTTTTACATGCTTTAACTATTCATTTTCTGCATAGAATCCATTCAATTATATAATAATGGATTTAGTATCCATAAGGAAAAGAACTCAATTTAAAAATAATTAAGTATTTTTTTTAAAGATAAAAGAGATTAAAAAATAAAAAATAAAAAATATATTTTCATATATTATAGTAAAAAATTATCTCAGAAAAAAAAGTGATAGAGAGAGTTTTTGTGGTCCTTAAACTTTTAGAATTTGATTTAGTAGAACCAATTTAAATAATTTGATCAAATTAAATCTTCTAATCCCAATTAAATGAAATAAATAGTGATTTTTGTTCCTAACAATGTGGTTTGATATGCAATATTTAATACAGTAACAATGTTTGTTTGAGTTGAAGCAGACACCAGTATCCATTAAAACACAAAAAAGCCAGAACACATATCGAAATATTCACCAGACAATAATTCGTGAAGCACGTGGTGGGAATAGTTTACAGCAAGCATGCCAGGAGGCATTATAAATACAGAGCAGATGCAACACTAAAAATCATCAACATCTTTGCTATCTTCCTCATTTGCAAAATTATAAGCTTTCTCACAGGTTCATGTTTTAACCGTTGCTCCCCTTATTTGGCATCTTTCTCATTTCCATTGATGTTTTAATCATTAATTTAAGGCATTCACACACACACACAAAATTTACCTTTTTGTTCTTCCTGCTCTCCCGGAGGGATTGAATGTGTTTGTGCTGTTTATTGTATTTTGCAAGTGTGGTGGATTGATAATTTGAATTTTGATTATCTTCGCATATTTTGATAGGTGAAAGTTGAAATTTCTTGGAAATGAAAGGAAACATGAAGGTGTTTATGTTGGTGGCAACATTGGCTTGGTCAATGGCAATCCATGATAACCATGTTATGGCAAACGATGCACAGACAAAGCCAACAATCCAAATGTATGGCTCCGGCGAAGGTGGGCCGGCCAACAATGTTGGGACACCACTACCGTTTTTCATTGTTGGGGTTAATGATCTCTGCTTGGAATCGAACAGACATATACTACAGCTAATGAAATGCAGCAAAGATAAGAGAGAACAAAAATGGAATCTTTATGCAGATGGTTCTATTCGGACTCAGCAGAACGACAACAACTGCCTCACTGCTAACGATCTCACTTTAAGAAGCCCTATTCTAATCACCCCATGTAGCCCGGATTCGTCTGCTTACCAAACTTGGGAAATCAAGGAAGCAAATGGGACCATCATTAATGTGTCCAGTGGATTCGCAATAGATGTGGCAGAAGTAAATTTCCCTCAGCGACTAGTCCTTTGGGTACACTCTGGCGGACCTAAGCAGCAGTGGCGTCTAAAACTATTTTCGTAAATTATATGTAGCTATTAAATAAAAGGAAACAGATCATTGTTATCCACTAGCTACTTTTATGTTGTCGGTCTCCGTTACCTCGTCAGCCATCCCTATGTATGATCCAAAAATAAATAAATGAACAATGATGGGTTTTTGTTCCGGTTAATTATTGTTATATGTTAGAAACGGTTCCACCGATTATATATAAACTTTAAGTTTTTTTTTTAAAAAAAAAAAAAAAAAAAAACGGAACTCAATTTCAACTGTATGTATAGGATGTACAATAATTTCTACAACATATTTCTTTTTTATTTATTTCACCATAAAGAGTGTTCTTTGGTTAGTTTGATTATTTCTACCCGGCATTTGACCAAAGAGTCTCAAACACTCCAAAATCTTTCCATTTCATTCAAACCCACTTAAAATTGTAACCCAACAAAAATATTTGAATTCTGAATCTCTGTTGAAAATCTTCCAAGCACAATGTAAATCACGCACTTCAATAAACCCTACATCATCCATAAAAAGAAAAATTGAGTATGAAATGCTCACATTTTGCTAGTGTGTAGAGTGGCCAATTGAACATAGCCTTACTATTAAAAAGAAATATTGAGCATCATAGCCTTACTATTAAAAAGAAATATTGAGCATCAAATTCTCGCACCCTAACTAGTGCACAACTTAACTAGTTGAATATGACATTGCAATAAAAAAAGAAATACTAAGCACAAAAAAACTCACTTTTTAAGCCAGCACACAACTTGACTATACGGATAAAAAAATTAAGAAACAAAAATCTAAATTTTAAAAGCTTACAGCCTGATTAATAAGCAGTTTGGCTAAACATACATGGGTTTCCATAAGAAAGAAAAAATGAGTATGAAATGTTTATTGTTTGGCAACGTATAGTATGTCCAGATGAATATGATGTTGCCTTCAAAAAAAAAAAAAAACTAATATTGAGAATGAATATTACGTATAGTATGTCCAGATGAATATGATGTTGCCTTCAAAAAAAAAAAACAACTAATATTGAGAATGAATATTCATAGTTTAGTTAATGCATAACTTGACTAGATGAACATGTTGATATCATAAAAAAATTGGATCGAGCATAAAAAAACTTATTTTCTAACTAGTGTACAACTTGATCAGATGGCCGGTAATGCCATTAAAAAAAAAGAAAGATTAAACATAAAAAGCTCCAATATGTAACTTTAACACAACCTAATGTAGATTTTGCAATTAACAAGGTCTGTTAGTGTATGCATGATCCTAAGGAGTAACACCAGATAGCTATCAAATGCATCTTTCATTAATTAAAATAGCCTATGGACTAGGGATTGTATCTTAATCGTCACAGCAACAACTTATTGCCAGGTTTTTTTACACTGATTGGAAAGGAAGCTTAGAGAATAGAAAATCAACAAGGGGGTTTGCAATTGTTCTTGGCAATAATATGATTTCTCGGATATCATCAAAAGAAAAAACAACATCAAAGAACTAAAGAATCTCTTATAAAAAAAAAAATTACGAATTCAAATCTTAAAATAGATAAATTATAGTTAATCACTCCGTCTTATTTACTAACAGTTGCAATAGGTACTTCAATGTATTTGCTGGTGGTGGCTGCCATTTCCTTTTGGATTCATAGCCAGGTAGGATCTTTGGTACTCACTAACTTTCCATTATTTAACCTTGGTTGTTTCCCACGTGGTGAACTTTGCTCAAGCCATCTTACGCTCTCGTAGATATTTCCCACCACGTGCTTCACGAATAATTTTCCTTTGGGAACAGTGCATTCTAGTAGATGATGTTGGGTCTCGTTATCTTTTTTCGGAGCTGCATATGTGTTATTCTAGCAACAATTCACGTATCTTAATTGCCGCCCCCTTTTTTTTTTTAAAAAAAAAAGATTTAATGGATACTGTTATCTGCTTTAAGTCAATCAAAGATTGTCACTGTAAAAAAAATAATAATAAATAAGTTAATTTATTTTTATATAATGGTTTAAATTTTTAATCTGTTGTTATATTTTTAATTAAAAAATATTTATTATTTATTAATTTTTTGATTATAGATAAATTTTTTAATGGAAATACTCCTAATTGAAAAGAAAAAAATTTCAACACTTCAAAAATAAAACATTCAAATCATTTGATTTTTAAACAATATGTAAGAGTCAAGATAGTTTCCTTTTGCAACTTTTGTTTGTCAATTCAATGAATTAAATGGTGCATGTAGACTTAATTTGATCAAATTATTTTAAATTGGTTCTACTAAATCAAATTTCAAAAGTTTAAAGACCACAAAAACTTCTTTTGAAGCCATTATTCACCTAATCCCCCCAGGCTGCGCACCCATGCCTTCTGAAATAACAAAATTACTTTTCAATCACAAAATCCATTCATACCTGACCCTATCACTTTAAAAAATAAAAATAAAAAAACCATTTTTCAACACTGTCTTCAATCATCACTCCCCACCAAATATTCTTCCATGTCCCAAGTCCTCAGCTTACAACAATGACAACAAATGGGCTAACATTCCATTTTTCAGTTTTCAAACACTAAATTAATTTTCAAATGTTTATTTCAGCATAGATCAGTTCAAAGTACAATTAAAAAAACTATTGGCCAAGCACGTGGTACGAATAAAAACTTGGACGCCAAAAGAAATTCATGAGCCATGAGCCATTATAATTACAAAATTAATTATGAAAAGAATGGACTTATCTGTATGGATCGTAAATTAACAAAAGTAGACCATAATTGTGTGGACAGGTACACATGCATGCCACCAGCCATTATAATTACCACCGTACGTTGCTGACGGGTTCTGCATTTGTTTCCACTATTTTATCCAACATGTGATATAATTCCAATATCCTTTGATTGAGTTGAAGCAGACGACAGTATCCATTAAAATATTAGGGCTAACAATTAAGAACATATGTCCAAAGTAATATTCACTAGACGATATGTATTGGTGAAACACGCGGTGGGAATAGTTTACACTCCACAGGTATGCCATGAGCCATTATAAATAGAGAGTAGATGCAACCCTTAAAATCATCAACACTCTTTGCTCTCTTCCTCATCTGCAAAATTACAAGCTTTCTCACAGCTTGATTTTCTTTCCCTTTTTGGCAACCTTTGAGCTCTTCATACACTCTTCTGTTCTTGCGTCACACGTTGCTAAAAGTTTAAAAAACATATGGAATTATTGATAACATAATCTATATTTATTTTAAACATTCTCAAAGGGTTGAATGTGTTTGTGCGGTTTATTGTATTTTGCTAGTTTGGTGGATTGATAATTTGAATTTTGATTATCTTTACATATTTTGACAGGTGAAAGTTGAAATTTCTTGGAAATGAAAGGAAACATGAAGGTGTTAATTTTGGTGGCAACATTGGCTTGGTCAATGGCAATCCACGAAAACCATGCTATGGCAAACGATGCACAGACAAAGCCAACTATCCGAATGTATGGCTCTGGCCAAGGTTGGCCCGCCAACAATGTTCAGGCCGACAGTGGCAATCCACTACCGTTTTTCATTGTTGGGCTGGATAATCTTTGCTTGGAAGCGAACAGACATATACTACAGTTAGTAAACTGCAGCAAAGATAAGGTAGAACAAAAATGGAAACTCTACGCAGATGGTTCTATACGGTCTCAGAAGAGCAATAACTGCCTCACTGCTAACGATCTCACCCAAGATAGCCCTATTCTAATCATTCAATGTAGTCCGGATTTGTCTGCTTACCAGCTTTGGCAACTCAAGGAAGCTGGAACCATCATTAATTTGTCCAGTGGTCTCGCACTAGACGTGGCCCAAGTAAAATTCCCTCAGAAAATAATCCTTTGGCCAGCCCATGGAGGAGCTAACCAGCAGTGGCAGCTAAAACTATTTTAACTTTCGCAATCTTTGCCGTAAGTTATAATTATATGTAGCTATTAAATAAAAGGAAGCAGATCATTGTTATCCAATAGCTACTTTTATAACGTCGGTCTCCATTACCTCAATATCAGTCTTCCCTATGTATGATCAAAAATAAATAAATGAACAATAATGTGATTTTTGTTCATGTTCCTGTAATTTATTGTGGTGGATGGACAAAAAATTCTACAAAATATCTTTTATATTTATTTATTTGACCATAAAAATATATTCTGAGGTCAGTTTGATTATTTCTACTTCGCATTTGATCAAAGAGTCTCAAACACTCCAAAATCTTTCCATTTCATGCAAACCCACTTAACATTGTAACCCAACAAACAACATTTGGATTCGGAATCTCTCTTAAAAAATCTTCCCTGCAAAATCTAAATCATCTACTTTATTAAACCATCAACTTCCAATAAAAACATGGGCAGCTTCCTATGGTTTGCCGTTTGCGTGGGAGATTGGTCTTCAAAAAGATAAGATAATTGAAGTTGATTTTGCTATAACCTCAACAGCTTTAACATGAAGAAAGGATAGCTTTTCAGCAAGTTGTGTCAGTTTATTGACATGCAATGAATTTGATGCACTTTTCGTGGAGATTGCCTTGATAATTTAGGCCATGGCATGGATCATGGTTCTCACACTTTTGACTCTTAGCATCTTAGCATTATTTGATGGTATTGTAGGGATAGTTTTGTTTTGTATGGTTAGATAATAATATAAATCATATGTTAGGGTATCATCTAATAGATGTAGTGTGGTATCGAGTTTGTATGATCAAATAGTCGTGAATTCGAATTCTACCATCCCTACTTTTTTTCTAGTTAATTAAACATAAGGTAGTGTGAACTCGTGTAAGTTTTAAATCCAAATGGCTTTCTTGAGGAAGTATGATAAAGAATAATATAAATCATATATTGGGATCCTACCTAAAAATTTATCTTTGTGGGTGAGATGGTCCTTTGACATATATGAATATTTTTTCTATTTAGTTTGGCCTTAGGCCACGTATTTTGCCCAAGAAAAAAACATCGAATGGAAATAAAATATGTACGGTGATAGTGGTGAACGTTGGTCAATTGGCTAATGAAAGGTGTAAAAGGTGAATGAGGTATGGTAGTGGCGATGAGAAGAGGCATTGCTAGAAGTGGCCATTTGATAGGAAAACGGCAAAAAAAAAGAAAAAAAACCAAAAAACCAAAAAAAAAAAATTGAAGATGAGAAGAATAGATCTAGTGTTGCCCTATATTTTATAGAGTTGTACAAAGGATAATGTACAAATTTCTATCAAGTTAAAGAGATAAAAGATATACAAAGAGTTTTATCTTTATCCTTGCTAGTAGTGTAGTGGTATTGCTTATGTCCAGGAGACTTCGAAGAGGAAGAGGACATGCCAATAGCTAGAGATAGAAGAACTTGTCTTAATACTTACAGAGATCATCATTGCTTGCTAACCTCTCGTCGAATGTAAGAGCTAAGATTTAAGACATGTTTATAGGATTAAACTTACACAAGGAAGAAGATGATGAATAGTTTTCCTTAATGTTCTTTATTGTGTTGCTGTAACTATTCATACGGTAATTACAAACGTAGATTGTGTAGAACTCCTATAGGATAATGATAAAGTAAGTTTATCTAGTTTTGATCACATCTATACATGGAGGAGAGTTGTCCCTCGTATGGACTCTGCTACTCGTAAGAGTTTGTAGTTGCACACATTACTTGGTTGTTGCGGAAGCGAGTGTCGATTTGGCTTAACACTCCCTCACAAGCCGACGGTAGGCGATCGCCAAGTGTGAGTTTGTCCCGTAAAAAGGTGAACCGAGCACTCGAGATTGGTTTGGTCGGAATCTCAACAATTTGATCGTCGGTGGAAATGTGCTTGAACGCGCAAGCTCCCCTTGATACTATTTCTCTAACAAAGTGAAAATCGATTTTCACATGTTTTGTGCGGGCATGGAAGACGGGGTTTGCTTCCAAATATGTTGCTCCGATGTTGTCACACCAAAGAACAGGTGGTGAATTGGGAGAGATACCTAATTCACTCAAAAGGGTGGTAAGCCAAGAGATTTCGTCGCCAAGAGATTTCTACAAGTGCCTTGTATTCGCTTCGTATAGCCGCGAGCCACGGTTTTCTACTTGGATGACTTCCAAGAGATGAGATTTGGCCCAAGGTATACGACAAACCCACCGGTTGATCATCAATCATCTAATGAGCCGGCCAGTCAAAGTCGAGAAACTTGACAGAGTGAGATTGTTTGATCGACGGATATGGAGACCGAGATTGGGTGTGTGCTTAAGGTATCGAAGTATGCGCTTCATCGTAACCCAATGGTCCGTAAGTAGGTTATGGATGAACTGGTAGACCTTATTTTGCAGCATATGAGATATCTAGCTCGGTTAAGGTTGCATACCGTAAAGCTCCAACTACCCGACGATATAGTGTTGGGTCGGAGAAGGTGTCACTTCCTATTCCGGTTAACTTTGCAGTGGTGGGCATTGGAGTAGAGACCGGACGACAAGAAGTCATGCCCCGGTTCCGTAAGAGATCGGTGATATACGTTTGTTATGAGAGGAAGAGTCCGTTAGTAGTAGTGACAACTTCCACACCCAAAAAATAGTTAAGTGGGCGAAGATCTCTAGTGGCAAATTTTACATCCAAACCAGTTATCACTAATTGTAGGAAGGGTAAATTGTTTCCTGTTACCAATATATCATCCATGTATACAAGTAAGAACAATTTGTGACCTTGATGCTCGATAAACAAACGAGAGACGAATCGGACTTGGAGCTAGCAAACCCAAACTCATGTAGGAACTGTTGGAGACAGGAGAACCATGCTCTTGGCGACCGTTTCAACCCGTACAAGGATCGGTGTAACTTACAAACATGATGTGGAAGCTCGTTTATCAACAAACCCCACTTGGTTGGGTCATGTATATTGTCTCACTAAGGCTGGCATTTAAGAAGGCATTTGTGTACATCAAGTTGCCTAATCGGCCAGCCATGAGACGTCGATATAGTCAAGACACACCCGATTGTGGATGGCTTCATCACGGGGCTAAAAGTTTCACCGTAGTCAATGCCTTCAAGTTGGTGGTATCCCTTAGCTACTAAGCGTGTTTTGTCTCTTTCGATTGTACCATCGGCATGTTTCTTAGTCTTGAAAACCCACTTATTTCTAATGATGTTCATATTTGGTGTGGCTGGGACAATAGACCAAGTACCGGTTTATAGGAGGGCTGAGATTTCCTTGGCCATTGCAAATCGCCATGCTCGAGAAGTTCTTAACTTCGGTGAAACAACTAGGTGATTCTAGAACCGACGATGTAGAGGCCGCCAAATTGGCTTCGGGTAGGCATGGATGACCCCTCGGCCGAAGCTTCATATGATGTGTCCGTGAAGGAGTAGGGGGTGGGTGATTTGGGGTACTCGTAGTGTGTGTGTACAAGTTATAGGCACCGAGATCTAGTAGAAGGTTAAGGCCGGGTGGGGAGGGAGGGTTGATTGGTGGGTTGGGGTTGTGAGTTTCGGGGTTTGGGTTAGAGCTTGATTGATCTATTTAGGAATGAGTTGGGTGTAAGAGCCGATCGCAGGGGAGGCGGCGGCACACGCCTCGATGGGGAGAAGGTGGGGCTATCGGCGTGAGGAGAGGGGATAGGCGGTTGGTGAGTTGTGAGGGGAGGGGCCGTCCGTAGGAGATGCGGGGTGGTGATATTTGGGTGAGCTTGAGGGGTAGCGATTCTTGGTGCTCATTTGTGGTGAGGGAACAAAGTGTGTGATATATTTGTTGAATTACTAGGTATAAGGTGGTCGGGGGTTGGGGATGGAGATGAGTTGGGTTGGTAAGGGGGCCGAGCCCGTGGTCGGTGGTTTGGGCTTGGTGTGTTGTTTGGTGTAAGTGAAAAGGTAATGGGTTATGGGTTTTGGGTTGGTGGTGTTGGTTATGTTATGGTGTTTCTAGGGATTGATTAACTCGAGTTGAATTGGTTGGTTGATGGTTGTGGATTATAGGTCGTTATATATTAAATTTATGGGTGGGAATTGTTGCTTGTTGTGGCGGGGAAAGAGGCCACTTTTGTTCGGTGTGGGATGTGAGTCGAGCTGATTTTGTTGTTGTTTAAGGGACCCATTTGACGAGGCACGGTGATACCGACCTGCGAAGTGAGGGGAGAGGTGCTAGTAGGATATAGAGGATGAATAGCGGGTAGACTTACTCATGGGATGGATGGGGTAGGCGGGATTGTAGAGGATTTTGTAGCCGACTTTGGAAAGGGGAATATGGATTCGATAAACCGTACATGACGAGCAATGTAGAGACGATTTTTTTTTATTATCAAAACAAAGATAACTTAGGTGGGAAGGACTATATCTAAGAAATATGTATGGGGTTGTTCTAAAGTCCATTTTATGTCCATTGTAGGGACGTAAAAAAGGGAAGCATAGACTACCAAAAACTTTTAAAAACGAATAATCGGGTTTTGTTTTGAAGGTTTTTTCAAAAGGTGAAATATTATCATTAGTGAAGGAAGGCATTCTATTGATCAAGAAGACAGCTATGTCAAAAGCAAAATGCCAAAAATCTTTTGGGACATAAGCTTCACTTAACGGGGTGAGCCTAGTTTCCACAATGTGACGATGTCGTCTTTCAACGGTTCCGTTTTGTTCGTAGGTATGAGGGCACATTAGGCGGTGTATGATGCTAAGTGATTTAAAAAGTTTTGTTAGGCTTCGAAATTCTCCACCCCGATCTGTTTGTACTTGTTTGATTTTACAGTTAAATTGGCGTTCAACCATTTTTTGAAAAGTAATAAACGAGTCAAATACATCGGACTTTTTATGCGGGGGTAGAACCATATAAAGTTTGAAAAATGATCAACAAAGGTGACATAGTATTTATGGCCATCATGAGAGGCGGTAGGGGAAGGTCCCCATACATCGTTAAAAATTAAGCTTAAAATACCGGGACTTATATTTTTTGAAGATGGTAAAGATAAACGACTTGTTTTTCCTATTGGACAAGACAAGCGGGAGTAGGTAATGTTCTAGAATTTGACGGAGTAAAATTTTTTAGAATAACACTTAGAACTTTATGATGAGGATGTCATAGGCGAGAGTGCCGGACCGAAGTGGATACCCTTGCAGAGTGAACTTGGGGAGATGGGCGAATGGAGCGAGGTGGTAAGGAGTACGGATCAGCATCACTCGTGGCCCGAAAGCAGGGGTTGCTTGTGTACCTAGTCCTTGAGATAGAAAGTAGAGGGTTGAAATTCAAAAAAGAGATTATTATCACGAGCTAGTCTTTTTACTGAAAGGAGTGGACGAGTTATTTCGGGGACACGTAAGACATCAAGTAACCGTAATGTTTTGGTGGGTGTGGAAATAGAACTAGTGCCTATGTGAAGAATTTTTAGGTACTCACCATTACCAACCTGCAGACTAATCGGGACCGGTGTAAGGCTCATATGTGCTTGAAGCTGGACGGATCCGGTGTTACATGGTTTGAGGCACCGGTGTCCCGACACCAAGGCTGGGCATATGAGGCGACGGGGAAGTAGCCGAGATGTTCATAGATGGGCGACGAGAAGGAAACCGCCTTTAGGGACAATGCACTGCTTGTATGATTCCATGATGAACGAGCTGGCATTTTTGTCTTTGTTCGGTTGGGTGCCGATTGTTTCGTTTTCGGATACATAGTGAGGATTACCATAACGTGGTAGGAACTCGCCATACCCACGTCCATGGGAGTGTCAACCTCTATTGCGGTTATTGTTGTTGAAATGATCTTTATGGATGAGGTTTGCAATGGGAGGAGTTGGTAACGGGGCGGATGTTGGTGGGGCAATCGTGGTCGCGGATAGAGTTTCGGTGTTTAAAAATTCATGGGCGACAAGGAAACTATGGAGATCCGTGAAGTTTACGGAGTTCGGTTTTGTAGAAAGGGTGGTGATGATGTTTTTAAAGTCACCGGAGATGCCTTTAAAGACATATAGATTGAAGTCTATAGGAGAGAGTGGTCGTCCTACTTGCGGTAAACTCATCATTGATTGACTTTACCGGATGTAGGAACTAAGATACAAGTTCATTGTGTTGCTGGCGAAGATTTTGGAGTGACGGATGCGGGGTCATGATCCGTGTGTTGGAAGGAGATGCAAGTGCGCTCTCGAGGACGGTCCGGATGTCACGGGAGGTAGTGCGATCAATGATCAATGGGAGGACATCGATTGAAAGGGAGGAGATAAGGATGCTCATCAACGAGTTAGTCTTGCTAGACCCAAGAGGCCGTGGGAGGTCGGTAATGGTGGAATTGGGGTTTTGTGGAGGACAAGGATTGGAGCCATCAATGAAGCTGAAAAGGCCTTGGCCAAGGAAGAAGGGCTTCATTTGTACACGCCATAATAGATAGTTTGTGTGAGTGAGTTTGGGAGAGAGAAAGTGGTGGGAGCTGGTGAGTTGACTCAATGGAATGGTTTTTGATGCGAGTAGAGTTTTCATTGTTAGATGAGGTTACACTTGAGGAAGTCATTGGTTTGTTTAGAGATAGAAACGGGAACAACGGTGATGTCAAAGGGTTCGGCTTTGATACAAGATTAAACTTACACAAGGAAGAAGATGATGAATAGTTTTCCTTAATGTTCTTTATTATGTTGCTGTAACTATTTATACGAGTAATTACAAAAGTTGATTGTGTAGAACTCCTATAGGATAATGATAGAGTAAGTTTATCTAGTTTTGATCACATCAATACATGGAGGAGAGTTGTCCCGTGTATGGAATTTGCTACTGTAAGAGTTTGTAGTTGCACCCATTACTTGGTTGTTGCGGAACGAGTGTCGGTTTGGCTTAACATATAGAGAAAATATATTGTATGGTGAATAAAATTCTAATATAAGAAAAGTAAGTGATATGGATAAAGTTTTTGTAGTCCTAAGCTTTTTTAAAATTTGATTCAGTAGAACCGAATTAATTAAATTAAATATTCTATTTCCAATTATAAGGAAAGAAAATGCCACATGCAATGTTTAAATTAATTCAATTGACAAACAAATTAAAGTTATAGCAAGACGAGACATTGTTATCTACCATTTTAAATTAAACCTAATACAATTTTTGCAGAGGAGTTTTTTCATGTTATAGCATAGGTCAAACAATCAATTCAACTCACAAACTTAAACCATTAAAAAGAGTAGGATCTTTTTCTTTTCTTTTCTTTTATGAACAGTAAAGTCCGATTATGTTCGAAGTGTTGGAATGCTAACAAGCTATTGCTTGCAGGAAAAAAAGCAACTTTATTTGATACTCTTATATATATATAATTAAGAGCAAATTATTGGACAACAATAAATAATTTGTTGTCTTTTATTTTAGCTGCTACAAATTAAGAGTTGCCTTGATATACGACCAGAGGAGCATGACGAGTAACTACAGCATCAATTTCCATTTTTGGGAATTATTCCCATTGTACGGCCAAAGGATTAGTTGACGATACACAGGATCTGCATAGAACACAACCATCACTAATCCATTATACGGACTCAAGTATATGATGCCATCCCCTCTAATCCCCCAAACTTGATTAGATAACCCAGGACTACAAGTTTGGATGAGTATGATGCTTCTTTCGGCTTTACCACTATTGCTAGTGAGGCACATGTCTTGGTTATTCTGAGGACGTATAGATCCATCTTCATAAAGAGCCCATTTTTGTTTTGTCCTGTTTGTTGAGCATTTCTCTACCCAGGGGATGTTTATGTTGGCTTGCAAGCAGTAGTCATTAAGCCAACCAATCCGCATTGGTAGCGGAAGAGCATCCGCATTTGTTTCCACAGTGAGTCCAGTGGCACCGCTTTCTAATGGCTGCATATTCCAAGCTGCTGTAACCATGACAGTCGACCAAAACCATGTCGCTGCCAAAATGATCCATGGCTTCATATTTCCTTCCATTTGTAATTGTGCACTTTTTATCTGTAAATTAAAATACGCAAAAACATAGATTATCAAAATCCAGATAATTCATCGTTAAATCACAAACAGTGCTGATGAAAATGCATTTACTTGACAAATAGGTTAAAAAGAATTGGTAATACTAACGCTGAATTTCGGTCTGCTGGAACTCTTATATATGAGCAAATGATAGAGCAAGAGATGATTTTTCTCTTTGCTTGTGGTCGATCTGCTTTTATAATGGTTGGAGCATGGCTTAGTGTTCTTCTTTACTATTATTATATTATTATTTACTTTCACGAAACACGTGTTAGACATTTGTTAACCTCTGATAATAATGCATCAAAGTAAGGAAAATAGCATGGTAGTTGTTTCCCACCATGTGCTTCACGAATAATTTTTATTTGGGAACAGTGTATTCTAGTAGATGATGTTCGGTCTCGTTATCTTTTATTATTATTATTTTTTTTTTTGGGAGGCGCATACTTGTTATTCTAGTAACAACTTATTTTTTCATCCACCTTACATTATGAGTTAAAAAAATATAAATTATTTAGAAAGGTCATTTTAGTTTCGTAGTCTATTTTATGATATGAAGTTATAAAAATGTATGAAATCAAAAATGTAAAAAATTATTTAATCAAAAATTTTATATTTAACAATTTCTTATTTATATTTCTCATAATTTTTCCTTTAGAAAAAGGATTCATTCTTATTAATCCATGAATTATTAACTAAAAAGAAAATTAAATAAAATTTTTTAAAAAAAATTAGTATTTCATAAGATTGTGTCGAAAAAACATAAATAACAATTGTTAAAAGCTTACATAGAATTGAACAAATAATTTTTATTTATTTAATATTAATGAGAATATCGATTTTTAAAAAAATATGAATTTAATTTTTATATATTTATTTACAAAAGAATGAATAATAGTAAAATAAAAAACTATATTAATTTGAATCATTGAGTAGTTAAGCCAAAACATTATTTTAATTATTTAATTTAAAATAAGTTAATTTTAAAATATTCAAAAATAAATAAATAAATAGTAAATGCTTAGTGTAGTAGTAGTTGCAGAGTTAATTTCTAAAAAAATAACAATTCAATGTTTTTTTTAAATATCATAACTATACTAAGCGAGTTTAGAGTTTTTTGTCTAAATATATATATAAAGTTAACTTGCAAGAAATATATTGACTAAATTTGAAGTTAATAGACTAAAATAAAAATTATTACAAATTTGATTTCGAATAATGTTGATTATATAAAGAAGAAATAAATTAATAAAACATGTGAATTCTTTTTTTCCTCCTTCTTAAATATTTTTATATTTTTATATTGTGCATGGCTAGTCCTTGAATATAGGCTTCACGCAGAGAACAACCATCTTCTTTTTATTTTTCACATTTGACTTTCAACTATTAATTAATTAATTTAAATTTTTTTCTAAAAAACAATTGAGAAAAAAATTATTTGAAATACACTTTTAATCTAAAAATGTAATTTAGATAAATTATATATATTAATCATACCGCTATAATTTAAAAGTTATCTAAATCTATATTTCAAAAGAAAAACTAATGTTTTAAACATTTATTCCAAAATCCATACATATAAAAAAATAAATCAAAACTGTAGGTAAATATAATTTTAAATTAATTGGATGATAATTTTTTTAAAAATAAAAAATTAAATTAGTAAATTTTAAATAATAAAAATAATTAATAACAAATACTAAAACAAAATAGGATGAAACCACAATATAATCAAAGTTTGAAATCGAAAAAAAAAAAAAGAAGAGAATTTAAAAAAAAAAAAATTAATGTAGTAAATTTTAAATAATAAAAAAACCGAGAAACAATTATTTGAAAAATACTTTTAATCTAAAAATATATTTCAGAAAAATTATATATATTAATCATGCCACTATAATTTAAAAAGTATCTAAATCTATTTTTCAAAAAAAATAATAATCATGTTCTAAAAATTTATTCGAAAATCTATACATATAGAAAAATAAATCAAAATCGTCGGTAAATATAATTTTAAATTAATTAGATGAGAATTTTTTAAAAAAAATAAAAAATTAAAGTAATAAATTTAAAAAATAATAAAAATGATTAACAAAAAACACGAGAAAAAGGGGGACGAAATCACAATATAATCAAAGTTTGAAATTGAAAAAAAAATGATAAATTAATATAGTAAATTTTAAATAATATAAAAAACTGAGAAACAATTATTTAAAATACACTTTTAATTTAAAAATATATTTTAGACAAATTATATATATTAATCATGCCACTATAATTTAAAAATGATCTAAATCTATTTTTCAAAAGAAAAAATAATCATGTTCTAAATATTTGTTAAAAAAATCAATACATATAAAAAAATAAATCAAAACTATCAGTAAATATGATTTTAAATTAATCGAATGAGAATTTAAGAAAAAATGACAAATTAAAATAGTAAATTTTAAATAATAAAAATAATTAAGAAAAATACTAAAATAAAATGGGACCAAATCACAATAAAATTAAAGTTTGAAATTGAAAAAAAAAAAAAAAGGAAGAGAATTTAAAAAAATGACAACTTAAAATAGTAAATTTTAAATAATTAACAAATTAAAGTTTTAAATTGAAAAAAAAAAGAGAATTTAAAAATTGACAAATTAAAGTAGTAAATTTTACATAATAAAAATAATTAACATAAAACACTAAAACAAAATGGGATTAAATCACAATAAAATTAAAGTTTGAAATTGAGAAAAATATTTAAAAATTTAAGGATCAAAATGTTAAAAAAAGACTTGCATAATAAAAGGAATAGTGTTTTGTGAGTGTGTGAATAGTGATTTATGAGTACGTGAATAGTGTTTTAAATAGTGAAATGAATAGTATAATTATGTTTTACTTTAGTTTGTTTTATAATACGTATTTTAATCGCCGACTTATTTTAATTTTTTTTTGTAAGATTTAATGGATACTGTTATTTGCTTTATGGCATCAAAGATTGTCACTGTAAAATTTTTTTTTATAAATAACTTAATTTATTTTTATATAATGGTTTGAATTTTTAATTTGTTGTTATATTTTTAATTAAAAATATTTATTTTTATTTATCTTTTTGATTAATTTTTTGATTATAGGTAAATTTTTTGATGAAAATGCTACTAATTGAAAAGAAAAAAAAATAAAAAAACTTCACAAATAAAACATACAAATCATTTGATTTTAAACAGTACGTAAAAGTCAAAATAATCAAAATTGAAATATAACAGAAATTCCAACCGTCAAGATATTTCTTTTTATATTTTTTTTTTTTGTCAATTCAATGAATTAAATAGTGCATGTGCCATAATTTGTGCATTTTAATTGGGAACAGTAGACTTAGGAGGTGTTTGATAACCTAATTAAGTAGCTTAGAAAAAATTAAGTTGCACTACTTAATATAAAAATCGTATTTGATAACTTAAATGATCTCATATTAAAACTTTAAGTTCAGTCAAAATCTACTTAATAAGATAAGTTAAAATTTTTAACTTATCTGATTAAGTCAAACTATCTAAAATACTCTCTCTCTCTCTCTCTCTCTCTCTACTATATATATATATATATATTGAAAAATAAAATACTCATTTGAAAAGCATAAAAATAATTCATTATATAAATTATAATAACATATTTTTAAAAAATAAAACAACGACGTTATAAAATTTTATTCCAAAATTCATATATTAAAAAACTAAATTGATTAACAAATAAAATTATATCAAAAAATTAATTTGATGACAATTTTAGTAGGAAACAAATAATTGAAAAAATAAATTTTAAATAATAAAAAATATAATAAGATATATATGTTCAAACTAAAATTTTAAAAAAATCATATATATTCTATCATCTTCAAACATGCTTATTATATTCGGTACTCAATTTTTAGTAAATACTAAACAGCTTATCGGGAATAGATTAAGTACTTAACAAATTCAAATTCAGTACTTAATAGGTCCAAGACTTAATTTTTAGTTTTATCAAACAACACCTAATTAATTTGATCAAATTATTTTAAATTATTTCAAAAAAAAAAATTTGAAGCTGGTTAACCTGACCCCACTAATACTCAAGTGGTCAAAACCCATTATTCACCGGATCTTACCACTTTCAAAAATAAAAACTCTTTAACCCCACCTAATTCCCCCAGCCTTCTGCGCACCCATACCTTCTGAAATAACAAAATTATTTTTCGAAACTGTCACTTTAAAAAATAATTTTTAATCAGAAAATCCATTCCTACCAGACCCTACCACTTTAAAAAATAAAAATAAAAAACCATTTTTCAACACAGTCTTCAATCATCACACCCTACCAAATATTCTTCCATGTCCCAAGTCCTCAGCTTACAACTAAGACAACCCGTCTTTCAGTTTTCAAACACTAAATTAATTGTCCAAAATATTTATTTCAGTTGTAATTCTGATTATTTTAGCTCTCGCATGCTTAAAAAAATTGATCACTCCAAAATTAATCCAAGGACATCATTACTATTATAGTCCCTGATAATGTGGGGTAATATGCAATAAGCTTTACAAGAACGATCTTCGACTGACTTGAAGTAGAAAACAGGATCCATTAAATCATAGAAAATAAAAAAAATACTGGAAATTTTTTTTCATTTTTTTCATTGCTGAGAGCTTCAAAACGGATCACGACCTGCTCTGAGTCCCTGCAGAGGGGCGTTAGAGTTTGAAATTAACATGAAAGAAAAGGAGAGAAGATGTCTCTGTGTTGCTCTTTTTACTTTGACTATGTTTTTCAAGAAAATAGAGAATAATTTGGTGCTGGAAGGTCACATGAATATGGATTTGAAAATTACAATAATTTATGTACTTAAATGACCATTTATTGTATGTATTATTTGTTTTTTGTTGGAAGTCACTAACTTCAGAGCTTAATGAGTTTGTGCGGTCATGAACATGTGATAGTTGAGGCCAAAGTAGATGTGATTAAATAATTGCATTTAGTATCCAACAGGACATAAGAATTCTGTTTAATAATTATTATTACTTAAGATATTATTTTCCATGTTTTAACTATTCACTTCTGCATAGATTCCATTCAACAAGATAATGGATTTAGCATCCAACATGTGATATAATTCCAATATCCTTTGATTGAGTTGAAGCAGACGACAGTATCCATTAAAATATTAGGGCTAATAATTAAGAACATATGTCCAAAGTAATATTCACTAGACAATTTTTATTGGTGAAACACGCGGTGGGAATAGTTTACACTCCACAGGCATGCCATGAGCCATTATAAATAGAGAGTAGATGCAACCCTAAAAATCATCAACACTCTTTGCTCTCTTCCTCATCTGCAAAATTACAAGCTTTTTCACAGGTTGATTTTCTTTCCCTTTTTGGCAACCTTTGAGCTCTTCATACACTCTTCTGTTCTGACACGTTGCTAAAAGTTTAAAAAACATATGGAATTATTGATAACCTGATCTATATTTATTTTAAACATTCTCAAAGGGTTGAATGTGTTTGTGCGGTTTATTGTATTTTGCTAGTTTGGTGGATTGATAATTTGAATTTTGATTATCTTTACATATTTTGACAGGTGAAAGTTGAAATTTCTTGGAAATGAAAGGAAACATGAAGGTGTTAATTTTGGTGGCAACATTGGCTTGGTCCATGGCAATCCATGAAAACCATGCTATGGCAAACGATGCACATACAAAGCCAACTATCCGAATGTATGGCTCCGGCGAAGGTTGGCCGGCCAACAATGTTCAGGCCGACAGTGGCAATCCACTACCGTTTTTCATTGTTGGGCTGGATAATCTTTGCTTGGAAGCGAACAGACATATACTACAGTTGGTAAACTGCAGCAAAGATAAGGTAGAACAAAAATGGAAACTCTACGCAGATGGTTCTATACGGTCTCAGAAGAGCAACAACTGCCTCACTGCTAATGATCTCACCCAAGATAGCCCTATTCTAATCATTCAATGTAGTCCAGATTTGTCTGCTTACCAGCTTTGGCAACTCAAGGAAGCTGGAACCATCATTAATTTGTCCAGTGGTCTCGCACTAGACGTGGCCCAAGTAAAATTCCCTCAGAAAATAATCCTTTGGCCAGCCCATGGAGGAGCTAACCAGCAGTGGCAGCTAAAACTATTTTAACTTTCGCAATCTTTGCCGTAAGTTATAATTATATGTAGCTATTAAATAAAATTAAGGAAGCAGATCATTGTTATCCAATAGCTACTTTTATAATGTCGGTCTCCATTATCTCAATATCAGTCATCCCTATGTATGATCAAAAAATAAATAAATGAACAATAATGTGATTTTCTTTCATGTTCCTATTATTTCTCGTGGTGGATGGACGACAAATTCTCCAAAACATCTTTTATATTTATTTATTTGACCATAAAAAAGTATTCTGCTTTGCATTTGATCAAAGATCTCAAACTTTCCAAAATCTTTCCATTTCATGCAAACCCACTTAACATTGTAACCCAACAAACGACATTTGGATTCGAAATCTCTCTTAAAAAATCTTCCAAGCAAAATCCATCGTTAAAGGTAAATCGTGACGGATAATATTGATTTAGGGATGAAAAATTCCGTCCCTATTTTTTGATTTTCTTGTAGTGGTTGATGTCACCTTGTTCAGACAAATTGTTGGTGTGCTCCAGTATGTAACTTTAACACAGCCTAACGTAGATTTTGCAATTGACAAGGTCTGTCGGTATATGCATGATCATAAGGAGTAACACTGGATAGCTGTCAAATGCATCTTTCATTATTTAAAACAGTCTATGGACTAAGGATTGCATCTTAATCATCACAGCAACAACTTATGGCCAGGTTTTTTTACTCTGATTGGAAAGGAAGCTTAGAGGATAGAAAATCAACAAGGGGGTTTGCAATTGTTCTTGGCAATAATCTGATTTCTTAGATATCATCCAAGGAAAAAAACAATATCAAAGAACCATAGAGCTTATAGTTTAGTGATAATAATTTTTTACAACAAGAGATCACGAATTCAAATTTTAACGTAATTAGTTCTACTAAGAGTCTTGTATGTGTGGGTAAAAAAAAAATCGGTGTGATAATATTAAGATATCTTATATAGCTGTCAATATCATGTTCATGCACAAGTAAAATATATGAAAATTGATTACCATTTTGTCTGAGATGATGTTGCCTACATTCATAGCCAGGTAGGATCTTTGATATTTCTCATGAATTATGCACTAACTTTCCGCTATTTAACCTAGGTTGTTTTCCACGTGGTGGACTTTGCTCAAGCCATCTTCCACTCTGGTAGATGTTTCCACCACGTGCTTCACGAATCATTTTTCTTTCGGAACAGTGCATTCTAGTAGATGGTGTTGGGTCTTGTTATCTTTTCGGGAGCCGCATATGTGTTATTCTAGCAACAATTCACATATCTTACCCTTTATTTGGATAATTCCTCAAGGAAAAAAAATATTTTTCACTTATTGTTTGGATAAGAGTAAAAAAAAAAGAAAATATATTTTCTTTGTTTGGATAATTGTAAAAAGAGGAAGAAAAGAAAATGTATTATTGTATATTTACTATAATACCCCTGTGATTATATTTCTATATTTAAATACTTATAATAAATTTGTATGAATATTTTTTTCATGAAAATAGCACAAATGATAATAAAATAAAAATCTAGCATGTAGCATATATCTGAAATGATAAGATAGATAATGAATCGTCTCCATAGAATAATCGATAACTCGTTTATTAATTAATTAATTCAATAGCCAATTTAGATTAATTATCAACATAAAATTAATTTAAATATGTATAACATGTATCATTATCTATACATATAATAAATTAGTTGCTTTTACCCATCATTTTCTTCGCTTTTTTTAGAATAAACAATTACTATTTAGCAATTAAAAAAAAAAGAGTATATGGTAACATTGCGAACAATCATGGAAAGTCAATTGAATCACAAAAAATGAGACAAATCACAAATAATTTTTATTTCTTCTTTTGCAGTAACTCCAAAAAGTGTTCGAGGGGCTGTTTTGAGGGATATTTTGTGTCTATTTTGAGGGCTTTTTGGGGGGGTTTTTTGGGTGGTTTTGAAGCTGGTTTAGGGGTTTTTGTGCAGCTTCTTTTGTGGTTCAAATAACCTTTTCAAAGGAGTTGCTCTGCAAGGGTTTTGAGGGGCTGTTGGTAACAGTTTCAGGGCTGAGTTTGGGGGCTTTTGGGTAGGTGTTGGGTCTGTGTTTGGGGTTGGTTTTAGGCCTATTTTTTTAGGTTTTTTTGGGATTTTTTTGGGTGGTTTTGAAGCTGGTTTAGGGGTGTTTTTGGACCTTCTTTAGTAGTTCAAATGGCCTTTCCAAAGGAGTTGCTCTGTAAGGGTTATGGAGGGTCGTTGATAACGGTTTCAAGGCTGAGTTTGATTTTCACCCAAGTTTTAGCTTGGATTCTTACTTATTTATTACCCTCAAGTTATGAGTTTGATTTTCTTATGTGATTATAAATCCATCTATTTTTTTCAATTATGAAAATTTCACCGCATAACTTGACATTACTATTTTTGTTATATTTTATATCCTCAAAATCTGAAAATTTTCTTCCTGAATGATGAAAAGTGAAAATAAGCATTCTAATTTCATCACATAAATTTACACCCCTACTAATGTTATATTCTATAACATTCCCAAACCCAAATCTTTTTTTTTCCTTTTAAATATTGGCAAACCCATTTAAATGCTCATGGTGAGTAAATTATAAAGTTCTTCTAGTTTTGAGATACAAATTAGTTTATCCTTTTTGTTTCAAAAATTAATTATTTAATCATTGTTATTTATTTATGTTATTTTGAATTTAGTTTGTTTTTTATTTTCAAAAAGAAAAAAGAAAAATAAATATATATATTATAAAAATATTGATAAGATAATAAGATATTTTATTAACATCTAGAAATTTTGAATGAACAAGAATCCATGTCACGAGATCATATCGGATACGGCTCTCGAATTTTATTAATGAGCTGTCCAAACTATACACTATAGATTTCTAGCATGAAGAACTAAAGAAAAGCATGAAGAGCAATGGTTCTCTGCACGTATTGATAAGTGGTAGTTGATGGATTGTATCTTCATGAAATTCATACAAGCATAACCTCATTAGTTAAATAGAATCTTACATTGAGAGACATAGAACACAAAAACCCAAAAAAGCTTCTCTATAGTAATCCTTTCATTTTTTATAGCTTTCCTTGCACTTGCATTGATAGCCTTAAAAACTCAATTCTTCCATAGGAATCGACCCACCATCTCGTCACAATTTGTTGCTCCAGCTGCAATAGACACACGACATTGCATTTAAAAAACAAAAACATCAATATAAAAGAATTCAATAACTAGATTTCTTTAAATAAATGGAAGTAAAAGTACACTCGTACTCACCTTGATGAGTGCTTCAAGCTTGCTCTTCACAAGACGAGTAATCCTGTTTCACTTGCTCGCAAGCATCTCGAGCACTCGCAATCTCGGTAACCAATTACATGTAATTGAAATATTAAATATTACATCATTTAAAAATAACAATCCTTAATAAAGCCTATATCGTTTAAATCCGAGCATCAAACAACAAAGCCCAAGCTAGCAGTACCAAACCTAACCGAGATAAAAGCTTGAACACTCCTTTTCAACTCCGTATACAAAATAAACCACCTTCTTCCTAACCAAGAAGTTCCTTTCAATCAAGAAAACCAAAACATTCATAAACCACTCGGTAAACAATCTACCACCGACAATAACTAATATGAGCACACACCATTTCCATAATTTCAAACTCCAAATCTTTGAATTCAAGCAACCTATCAATGGTCAAGCTAGCAATTAACAGCCCCATAATGCAAACAAATCCAAATAACTCAATCAAGGGTAATACATTCCACTTCTTATCCATTATTTTTCTCAAATTAAGACTCACCGTCCTATAGACCTCCTCATCATCATCTTCCTCCAATCCCGGCATTCCAATCAAAGGCGACTACCCTCTACCCTCACATCTTATAGATCAAACACAACCCATCAATTGAATGACAAAGAACAAAATCAAACAAAACAATACCGCCCCTGCCGACACTACAAACTTTAGAGGAGCTGCGAATGGGTGTAACCTTCGCCGCTCGAAAACACCTGGGAGACGCCTGTCGGATGCAAGAAACTAGAAAAAAACAAAAAACAAATTATGGGATGTTGGTAACGAGCTTCGGTGAGAGAGAGAGGTGGGTTTGCAGAGGCGAGTTTCGGTGGCTGTTTTGGTTACGGATTCGGCGAGAGAGAGGGAGTAGGTTTGCAGAGGCGAGATCGATAGAGAAAAAGAAGGGAACGACGAGCAAGGGCGGAAATGGAAGATGGGGTTTACGAGAGACGAGTTTCGTGGCTGTTTTGGTAACGGATTCGGCGAGAGAGAGGGAGTGGGTTTGCAGAGGCGAGATTGACGAGAAAAAGAAGGGAACGGCAGGAAAGGGCGAAAATGGAAGATGGGGTTTGCAGAGACGAGTTTCATGGCTGTTTTGGTAACGGATTCAGCGAGAGAGAGGGAGTGGGTTTGCAAAGGCGAGATCGGCGAGAGAAAAAGAAGGGAACGGCAGGAAAGGGCGGAAATGGAAGATGGGGTTTGCGAGAGATGAGTTTCGGGGCTATTTTGGTAACGGATTCGGCGAGAGAGAGGGAGTGGATTTGCGAGAGGCAAGATTGGCGAGACAAAGGGAACGGCGAGGCAAAGACGGAAATGGAAAAAACAAAAAACAACTCGCTTTCCTCCCGTTTTTCTCTCCGTTTCCTCCCAATTTTGGGAGGAAAATGAGTCCCACCATTTTTGCATTCTTTTTTTTTTTTTTCATTCCACTCGCTTTCCTCCCTCTTCCTAAACGACGAAATATTTCTTTTCACCCCACTTTTCTTTCCTCTCCCCCACTTTCCACCTATCCGGACAAGGGGTTAATTGCCGGCTTTTTTTTTTTTTAAGATTTAATGGATATCGTTATCTCGCTTTAAGTCAAGCAAAGATTGTCACTGTAAAAAAAAATTGATAAATAACTTACTTTATTGTTTTATAATGGTTTGAATTTTTAATCTGTTGTTATATTTTTAATTAAAAAATATTTATTTTGTATTTATTTTTTTGATTAATTTTTTGATTATAGACAAATTTTTTAATGGAAATACTCCTAATTAAAAAGAAAAAAATTCAAAACTTCAAAAATAAAACATTCAAATCCTTTGATTTTAAACAATATGTAAGATTCAAGATATTTTCCTTTTATAAAAGAAAATATAAAAGACATTCCAACCGTCAAGATATTTTCCTTTTATAACTTTTGTTTGTCAATTCAATGAATTAAATGGTGCATGTAGACTTAATTTGATCAAATTATTTTAAATTGGTTCTACTAAATCAAATTTCAAAAGTTTAAAGACCACAAAAACTTTTTTTGAAGCTGGTTAACCTAACCCCACTGATACTCAAGTCTTCAAAACCCATTATTCCCCTAATTCCCCCAGCTTTCTGCGCACCCATACCTTCTGAAGTAACAAAATTATTTTTTCAATCACAAAATCCATTCATACCTGATCCTACCACTTTTAATTAAAAAAAAAAACCATTTTTCAACACTGTCTTCAATCATCACTCCCCACCAAATATTCTTCCATGTCCCAAGAAATTCATGAGCCATGAGCCATTATAATTACAACATTAACTATGAAAAGAATGGACTTATCTGTATGGATCGTAAATTAACAAAAGTAGACCATAATTGTGTGGACAGGTACACATGCATGCCATGAGCCATTACGATTACCACCGTACGTTGCTGACGGGTTCTTCATTTGTTTCCACTATTTTGTCTCGAGTACGTCAATTTAAATTCGAATAAATCACGAAATGATATTCCGTGAATAAGTAAGTACTCATTTATAGGTTGCTGTCAAAGTTCAATTCGGAGTTGGATCTTTATACACAGAATTCATGATAATTTATTTTTAAAATATTCAATATGTTATATTGAAAAGTATTTTTTATTCATGTTTAAAAAAATTAATTTTAAAATATATAAAAGATAGACATAGTGCTGGCTTAAGGCATAAGACATTAAGGCCTATGCTTAAGGCCCCCATAGAAAGTGATCCCAATTAAAATTTTATCTTAAACTTACATCGTGAAGAATGAGATAAATTAAAAAATGCAACCTTCACTTAAGTATGAGACATCATTTTTCTCTTTATTAACGAGTCATAGATACTAGAGTTCATGCATTGAAATACTCCTATTGTTCGGAGATATTATTATTTCAACGTTAAAAATTCAACCTTTTCTAGATGTCTTTCTAGTTACCTTCTACTTATAAAAGCTTTCAATTTTTATTTTAGTGGGACACTTTTACTTACGAGAAAATTTTCAGAAAAATATTTATGAGTGAAACAATTTTAGATCTTCAAATTTTGTTATTATATTCTTTTCTTTCTTCAAACAATCAAAGATCTCTTATAAAACCTTTTCTAATTAGCTTGGCGGAAGAATCGAAAGTAATTTTTTAATTTATGCAAATAAAATTATGTATATAAATTATATAATATTTTATTTTTTCTCAAATTTTTTTTTATTTTTTCATGTGATTCTCTCCGGGTTTACTTGATTAGGTGTGGCAAGCAAATATAATCGAGTGTCAAAGTTTCTTACTCTTTTTATAATTATATTTTAATTTTATTATTTGAATAAAATGTCTACTAGAAAAAAATAATTTGATAAGATTGAAAATGAAGACATAAAATTATCTCGTTCAAGAATCTTTTAGAATTAATTATTTTACATATTTAGTTGATCATGCGATTTCCTCTCTTCACAATAGGTTTGAACAATTTAAAATATATGAAGATAATTTTGGTTTTCTTTATAGTGTAGAAAAATTAAAATCACTTGATGATGATATTTTGAAAAAAAAATTATTTAAATCTTGAAAACTTTCTAAATCACAATATGCTTTCGATATTGATGGTTTAGATTTATTTTCAGAATTAAAAGTTTTAAAAGAAATTATAACTATGGAAATGAAAACACCACTTGCCATACTAAATTTTATAAAAAAGGTAAATTCTTTTCGAGATGCATGGATAGCATATAGAATACTATTTAACTATTCATGTTATTGTAGCTTTGGCTGAAAAAAGTTTTTCAAAATTAAAATTAATAAAATCTTATTTACGTTCAACTATGTCACAAGAAAGATTAAATAATTTGGCTAAATGATCAATTGAAAAAACTTTGCTTTGTAACCTTGAATATAAAATTTAATTAGAGATTTTGCATCTCGTAAAGCAAGAAAAATAAATTTTAAATAATATTTAATATTTATTTGTTTTATGAAAGAGTTTTTAAAATATTATTTTACCTAACGTTACATATATTATAAAGCTGGCCTTGGATAGACCAAAGACATCTTTACTACTAAACCAAATATATATATATATATATATATATATATATATATATAGTGTTCCTGATGATGCAGGGTAATATGCATAAGTTTTACAATAACAATCTTTGACCGACTTGAAGCAGACAACAGTATCCATTAAATCATACGGGAAAAAAAAACTCTATTTTTCATTTTTTTTGATTGCTCTAAGCTTCAAAACGGATCAAGACCTGCTCTGAGTCCCTTCTAAGGGGCGTTAGAGTTTGAAATTAACATCAAAGACAAGGAGAGAAGATGTCTCTGTGTTGCTCTTTTTACTTTGACTATGTTTTGCAAGAACATAGAGAATAATTTGGTGCATGGATATGGATTTGAAAATAAAAATAATTTATGTACTTAAAAATGACCATTTATTGTATGTATTATTTGCTTTTTGTTGGAAGTCACTAACTTCAGAGCGTTATGAGTTTGTGCAGTCATGAACATGTGATAGCTGAGGCCAAAGTAGATGTGATTAAATATTATTCTACATATTTTTTGTCCTCGTTCATTTCTGCATAGATTCCATTCGACAGGATAATGGATTCAGTATACAACATGTGATAGATTTCTAATTCCAATTAAATGAAATAAAATATGATTTTTGTTCCAGATAATGTGGTGTGATATGCAATATCCTTTGATTGAGTTGAAGCAGACGACAGTATCCATTAAAATATTAGGGCTAATAACTGAGAACATATGTCCAAAGTACTATTCACTAGACAATTGGTGAAACACGCGGTGGGAATAGTTTACACTCCACAGGCATACCATGAGCCATTATAAATAGAGAGTAGATGCAACCCTAAAAATCATCAACACTCTTTGCTCTCTTCCTCATCTGCAAAATTACAAGCTTTTTCACAGGTTGATTTTCTTTCCCTTTTTGGCAACCTTTGAGCTCTTCACACACTCTTCTGTTCTTGCGGCACACATTGCTAAAAGTTTAAAAAACGTATGGAATTATTGATAACCTGATCTATATTTAGTTTAAACACCCTAAAAGGGTTGAATGTGTTTGTGCGGTTTATTGTATTTTGCTAGATTGGTGGATTGATAATTTGAATTTTGATTATCTTAACGTATTTTGACAGGTGAAAGTTGAAATTTCTTGGAAATGAAAGGAAACATGAAGGTGTTAATTTTGGTGGCAACATTGGCTTGGTCCATGGCAATCCATGAAAACCATGCTATGGCAAACGATGCACAGACGAAGCCAACTATCCGAATGTATGGCTCTGGCAAAGGTGGGCCGGCCAACAATGTTCAGGCCGACGGTGGCAATCCACTACCGTTTTTCATTGTTGGGCTGGATAATCTTTGCTTGGAAGCGAACAGACATATACTACAGTTGGTAAACTGCAGCAAAGATAAGGTAGAACAAAAATGGAAACTCTACGCAGATGGTTCTATACGGTCTCAGAAGAGCAACAACTGCCTCACTGCTAACGATCTCACCCAAGATAGCCCTATTCTAATCATTCAATGTAGTCCGGATTTGTCTGCTTACCAGCTTTGGCAACTCAAGGAAGCTGGAACCATCATTAATTTGTCCAGTGGTCTCGCAATAGATGTGGCCCAAGTAAAATTCCCTCAGAAAATAATCCTTTGGCCAGCCCATGGAGGAGCTAACCAGAAGTGGCAGCTAAAACTATTTTAACTTTGGCAATCTTTGCCGTAAGTTATAATTATATGCAGCTATTAAATAAAAGGAAGCAGATCATTGTTATCCAATAGCTACTTTTATAATGTTGGTCTCCATTACCTCAATATCAGTCATCCCTATGTATGATCCAAAAATAAATAAACGAACAATAATGTGATTTTTGTTCATGTTCCTATTATTTATCGCGGTGGATGGGCAACAAATTCTACAAAACATCTTTTATATTTATTTATTTGACCATAAAAAAGTATTCTACTTTGCATTTGATCAAGGAGTCAAACTCTCCAAAATCTTTTCATTTCATGCAAACCCTCTTAACATTGTAACCCAACAAACAACATTTGGATTCGAAATCTCTCTTAAAAAATCTTCCAACCAAAATCAAAATCTCCCACTTCAACAAACCCTGCATCAACCATCAACTTCCAAAAGAGATATTTGATCCTGAGATAGAAATATTTGTACGGACACAAAGGAAAGCACTAAGGAAACAGAGAAGGCTGGAGCAAGAAAAAGCATTAGCCACGGCTGAAATGAGGCTGCTGAGAATCAGAATCAGATGTTGCTGCGTGATTGTGCCATGCCTAATATGAATGGCTTCCAGAACAGCATTGATAGACCAATAGTGAATGCCAATAATTTTAAGATCAAACCTGGTCTCATTCAAACGGTTCAATAAGAGCAGTTTGGGGAATCAGCCTTTGAAGACCCAAACGCGTATTTGGCTAACTTTTTGGAGATATGTGACACGATAAAGATGAATGGAGTCAGTGAAGATGCATTTAAGTTAAGACTATTCCCTTTCTCTTTGAAAGACAAAGCTAAAGGGTGGTTGATCTTCAAGGCCCCTGATTCATTCACCACTTGGAATGCTTTATGACAAGCTTTCCTGAGTAAATATTTCCCTCCAGATAGGACCGCCAAACTTAAAAATAATATCACTAGTTTTATTCAGATGGAGACCATTCATTCTTTTGAACGAGAACTTGACCAACTCGACTCTACATTCAAGAAAGCTGAGGAAACTTTGGCCAAGGTTTCAGCTTTACCATTCAAGGAGGACAGCAGGTCAATAGAGAAACTTCAATGACTACAATTTTGTTAAATTAAAGAGGCTTCTTGCTGCAGTTTTTCTTTCCTTTGATGATCGATCAAATGTGATTTTCCATTTGGTTTTGGGGGTGCCTGAGCCCAAATCAGTTCAAGGCAAACTGGTTAAGTCTAGGACTGAGCCCAGCCAAATAAAAAAAATACTGGTAGATTGTCCAAGCCCATGAAAACGGAAAAAGGCCCAATCTTGATTACCAATTAAGAGCAAATGGTTTTTTGATTTTCGATTTCGATTTTCAATTAAACGAATTATCAAAAAGAAAAATAGAAATCAAACCGAATTTAAATTTGATATTTCGGTTAAAAATCCGAAATTTCGGTTTCGGTTTTTGATTTGTTGATTTAAACCGGTTTTTTTAAAAAAAAATCTATATGGACTATGTGCCTCTAGCCGAAAGGTTTTGAGCATATGGACTAGGCTAAATTTGTGGGCCTAAATATAATATGGGCCTAAACTTCAAGCATATCCTTCAATGGTATTCCTAGCGAAACCCAACAACAATGTCACCATGGCCATGCATATGCTGCCATAAGTTATTGCAATCTAGATTCTAGAGTGCCCTTTTATTTTGGATGGTGATGAACTATAACCTCACATGGGGAGAGAGGAGTCTGGGGCTTCTGGTACTCATTCTTAATTGTCAGCATAGAATCTCAATACCCATTCTTAACTGTAGTTGATCTTTATCTTTCTGTAACTCTTTCTCACACATACCCACAAGTACAGATGATGCGGTCAAAGCGCACTTCTTTGTTCTTAAATTGCCTATTACAAAAGGTTGGTTCTTCTGTTTTTCTGCAGAACAAATACTCACATCAGGTTTTGCAAATCTTCTTTACATTGTTGTGATACAAAAGAAGGCATGATGCGGCATGTTGAAGAGACGATATAAGTGGATTGAGTGGTAGGAGGAGGACGGAGAAGTGGGCAGTGGGTTGTGAGGAAGAAAGGAGGAGTAATAGAAGCCTGGGAGAAGGAGGACGAAGAGATGGACGGCGAGGAGGAAAGGAAGAGGAAAAAATTATTTTGTATAATAGTTTTGCAGGTTCTGATTCGATTTAAAGGCTAGATGGACGCAGGCACGAGGAATTGACCTGGTCTTCAAAATCTTTCACATTCCCTTTAGGATTCTCTTGAAACCTTTGAATCCTAAAGTACTTCATTTCCACCCCCCCCCCCCCCCCCCCTTGCCTCCCCACTAAGCATGAGGTCCGACAAAATCCTCCCCACACCCGGAGCCATCTTGAACCCATGACCCGAAAGATGTAATGCCCAATGCTGTAACCTTAGCATCCATTCTCCCAGCTTGTAATCCTGTGGGAAGTATAGATTTGGGAAAGCAGCTCCATGGAGTCTCCATTCGGCTATTGTTAGACACAAATGTCTTTCTCAGCACCTCCCTTCTCGACATGTACTCTAAATCAGGCGCAATCAATTATGCTGAAAGTGTGTTTATCAAATTACCGGAGAAAAACTCTACTACTACACAACAATGATATTGGGTTATGATCAACATGGGATGGGCGAGAGAGCTGTCTCCCTGTTTCATTCAATGCAGAAATCTGGGATTGAACCTGATGCCATTACTATCTTGTCAGCTTGCAGTAATTCAGGGTTGGTTGATGAAGGTCTTCAAATATTTAAGTCAATAGAGGAGGATTTTAAGATTCAGCCCTCAACTCTGCACCATTGTTGCGTTGCAGACATGTTAGGGAGAGTTGGTGGGGTGGTTGAAGCTTATGAGTTTGTTAAACAATTGGGTGAAGCTGGCAATGTGTTGGAAATTTGGGGATCACTTCTTGGGGCTTGCAGACTCCATGGACACGTTGAATTGGGAGAAGTCGTTGCAAAGAAGTTGCTTGAAATGGAGAAAGTAGGCAACATTGCAGGCTATCATGTTTTGCTCTCCAATATATATGCTGATGAAAGAAACTGGGTAAATGTTGATAAAGTAAGGAAAGAGATGCGGGAAAAGGGTTTGCAAAAGGAAGTTGGCTCCAGTTGGATTGATATCAGAGGTTCTGTGGCCCGATTTGTGTCGAAAGATCAAGACCACCCTCAGTCTGATAAGGTATATGAAATGTTGGAAGGATTGGCTACGGAGATGAAAAAGAGTTGATCATAGTCCTCGAATCAATCCATGAATGAAGAGGAATACATTCTAGACTTATTTTTGTGTTATATGGATATTGGCTGACAAATTACAATTTGGCAAACTCAGTGGCAGCTGCTTGTTGCTTATAATTGTGGGTGTATTTGTACTGATCAGTGTATGATATAACACTTTGATTGGTCTATCTGTGGGATGTTTATCCAGTACAATAATTTGGAAACTATGCTGGACTGCTGGCTTAGATTTCTGGAATCAGTCAACAATTAATAAGGGAGCATTATATTGTTTTTGGTAACACACTGTATCATGTCCCCTCTTGTTGTCCTGGTGCCATGTAGGTTTTATTCTTGATTTGAGTAGAGGTTTTATGAATTGGCCTGTATTTCCATTGAAATTCTAGCCTCTGCTATGATATGAACTTTAAAATGACTTGCAAATGTTTGCTTATCAATATAAAGCTCTATTATTGACCTCAGGTTGATGCGTTGTTTCAATTAATGATTCTGTCTTCTCTTCTTCGTGATAGAAAACTTATAATGCTCCCTTATTTTATCCCACACCAGGATAAAATAAGGCACGCCTTTCTAATGGCTATTAGTATTTGCTTGGATTTGTTGCAAGTCATTAAGGGTTCCAGTTAGTGTGTTTGTTCTTCAATAGCTCCTTTTCTGTTCATGTACTAATATATTTGATGCATAACTTAACCAATTCCAGATGTGTTTGTGAAGTATATGTTCTTATTTGATACATATCTTGAATTATAAATGCTTCCCGCCTGCATATAACTTTTCTTTTGCTCTTTTACTTCAGATATGATCCCTGTACACATCTGGAATTGGTTCCCATATTTTCAGTGTCAAGCCGTAACTGTTCTGAAAGACGCTACTAGCTTTTTATATGGGTACATAGCCAATAATTTATAAACCTACGCAGATGGTATTGGGAGGGTGGCTGGATTGGCAAACCAGTGTCCATATTCATGTTAAGCACCTATGGATGCCTTGGATTCTTTGTTTCTCAAAGTAAAAGAAAATTTTAGCAAAATTAAATAAATAAAAACAAAAGAATTTAGAAAAGTCCCTTAATTAACGATATTCATGTGCTAAAGACCTTTTCTGATAATTGTGATTTTGAATTATGAGAATATTTGAATTTTAAGAAATTAGGACAAAGACAATAAAAAATAGATAAAGAAAGCGTAAATTAATTTTTTCTTTTATATTTCTAGTTTTTTAAATTATTATATTAAATATTAGTATTGCAACACTTAATTAATAATATGACATAGATGCTTACATGGCAAAACTACCCTTTTTTTAATAAATATGATTTAATATATCTTATTTTGAAAAAATAGATTAAAAACTATCATATTTAGGGAAAAAAACTCATACTTATAACCAAACATATGATATAAGATAACACAACTATCTCCCCTTTTAATTATAAAACCTTCTATTTTTCTCAAAGTCTTAAGTTGAATTTTGGACACTTCTATACAATTGTCAACTGATTGTCGTTTCATAAACATAAATAATTATGTTTTGGATCTTTTTTTCTTTCATAGAACCAACTTTTTATTAGTTTTTTTTTTTTTTTTTTTGATGCATCAAATCTTTTTGTTCGTTGATTTATTTATCAGAACTCATTACTTTTTTCCCAATAATTTCATTATATTTATATCAAATGATTATTCATAATTCACAACCCACATATATATATATATAGAGAGAGATCTAATTTTATATTATCTCACGTAGAATCAAACAAAAACCTTGCATGCATCTATCAAATTCCAAACAAATAATTAATCTCCACAGTAGTTCAAATTCTCCAAGAAAATGAAATTATGTGCAGTATAATAAAGCGAGAATTCCTTTCTCTCCATTAAAATCTATTTGCTCTAAAAGATTATGGAACACTTGCCTTTCACTGAACTGGAAACCTAATCTGTGTCTAGTTTCAAAGAAAGAAAAGTAGTGTTCTGTTGAGAGAAAAGGAATTTGAGAAAGTTGGTTTACTGTATTAACGAACTGTTACAATTAGTTACAAATTTGTTACAATATTTATACTTTTGTAGCTATTATTCTCTACTCCTCATGTGTATACTAGCTATATACAATCTCACCTGAACATGTGGATTTAGAAAATACAAACAAATAAATATTTTTTTCTCAATAATCCCTCTTAAGTTAGTGGGTTTATACATGTCATAAACATCCAAGTTGGATATAAGATATTGACAATGCTTGCTGCCAACACTTTTAGTAAAAATATCTGCAATTTGCTCTCTTATTCCGATAAAGACAATCTTGATCAAGCCTTCTTTATGTTTCTCTCTAACTAAATGACAATCTTAAGTTTCTCTCTAAGTAAATGACAATCAATCTCTTTATGTTTAGTTCTCTAATGAAAAATTGAATTTAAATCAATATGTAAAGCAATTTTGTTATCACAGATTCATTTCGGATGCTCCTAAATCTATGATTTTCAATTCCTTTAACAATCCAACTAGCTAAACCACCTCACATATAGCTAAAGCCATAACTCTAAATTCTGCCTCATCTAAAGATCTAGAGATAGTATCTTTTCTTTTCCCCATGGTAAGAGATAATTGCCATATAAACACATAAAAACTAGTTAAAGATTTGCTTTTTATAGGACAAAAAGCCAATCATAATCGTAAAATACTCTAAGTCTAGCATTCCTAGAAAAAGACATCAGAATTCCAAAACCTAGATTGCTCTTGAGATACTTAAATACCCTTATTATTGAGTTCATATATTTTTTATTAATGCATAAACTAACGAAGAATCTACATTACATAGAAAATGTCAAGTCCAAGTAATCGTCAAGTATATCAACTTTTCTACTAACCTTTGATACTTAATAGGATCAAGCGGAATTGAATCTTATCTTTATCCTAAATTGTTTTTATCAAAGTGAACTATAATGAGTATTAAATTCTATTCCACTAACATCTCTACTCGGTTTTGAGCCAAGTAAACTCGTATCATGTAATAATTTTATAGTATACTTTTTTTTTATTTAAACATATTCCTTGTTTTGATTTAACAACTTCTATTCTTAAGAAATATTTTAAGCAACCCAAATCTTTGATGTAAAAAGTTTCATGCTTCGGGTTTTGTATATCTTCCACATTATCTTCTATAATCAAGATATCATCCACATAAACTAAGAATATAACTATTTTACAATCTACCATCATAATGAATATAAAATAATCATGCTTAGATTGAGAAAAACCAACCAATATCATTTTTCAACAAACTTTGAATTCCATTATCTTGAAACTTGTTTTAAACCATAAAAAGACTAAAGGAATCTATACACTAAACCCTCTCCCCGAGTGCTAAGTCCAAGTGACGAACTCACATAATCCTCTTCATGCAAATCTCCTTATAAAGATATGGCTTATTGTACTACATGAACTATAAACCTTTTAATCTTTATGGCATGTTCTTTCAAAAGTGTATAGAAAATACATGAACTATGCTTCGATAACAATTTTAGCACATGAGCCATTTTCCATTCAAGATTTCGAGTTCATCTAACATGGCATGACACGTCAAATGACACCTTGGATGAAAATCCATATAGGATGACACGTGAATTAGAATTATAATTCAATTATGATGGATGACATATCACCGACCCGCTTATTCAAAACCAATTCCTAAAACTAACTAACCTAATTCAATTCAATTCTTAAAAAAGCAAATTTTTAATTTTTTTCTCTTCTTCTTTCTCTATCCGATCGACGAACAAGCCGACCCAAATCCTTAATCCTCTTCTTTTCTTTTCCCAATGAACAAGAACTCCAATCTTCTTCTCTTCATGCGGGATAAATAAGAACCCCAATCTTCTTCTTCTTAACCAGTCTTTTTTTCTTCACAAAATTCTCAAACCGAAACCCATACCCGCATTTGCATACCTCTTAGAAAACCCATGAATATTCATATAAGTTCGCTGGTCGGGAACTAAACCACTTTCCTTTATCAAATCTACCAATCTATTTGATTCCATCAAACCTAAAATTTACGATGCAGCCTTCATCCTCCGCTCCTCACAATACTCAAGAATCTTCAACAAGTACCCATTCCCATACGAATCTTTAATTATAAGGTTTCCTCTATCTATACCTATTTCATTTCATTTTTCATAGGCTTTCTTATTTATGTTTATTTTGATAATTTTGGGTTTTGGTGCCTCCTTTGTTTGTGTAAATTCTTCAACCGTATTATGATTGATCAATTTTATTATGATGGTTCAACTACATTATGATGGATCAAAACCTAAACTCGCATTACTCATATCCGTATTTGCATAACTTTCAAAAAAACCCATAAAATGGCATATACATGTAATAGTTTTAACATGGATAAAGCCTTAAAAATATGTTCTTCAACTTTCAAGATGCCTTTATGCAAGTACAAGACGGAGATGAGCCTATATATTTCACGAACTAAAACTAACCTAGGAAAGACGTTTGTTTGCTACCTATATTGAAAGACATTTATTGTTCTTAGTTAATGAAATTACTAAAATTTCTCTATTGTTACAAGAAATATACTATATATTTGATATTTTGTTTTCATAAAATATTACAACTTTTAAGTTGATAATTAGGGGTTTTGAAAGTAGATTGAAGATGATTGCATCGTGTGTGGAGTTGGGAAGTTAGTCGTAATCGAGATTGAAAAGTTGAAGAAAAGAATGGAGTTAGTTGAGATACTTGAAAGAGAAAATTCAAGTTTGATAGGAACTGAAGAAAAGAAGAGAAAGCAAAGTAAAATTTATTTGATTAAAGAACTTGATCAAATGAGATTTGAAATTATTGAAATGAAAATTCAAATGCAAAGATTGAAGATTAGCATGTAGGAGTGAGGAGGGAAAGTCTAAGCTATTACCAAATGGTATTTTATGGCAACATTGATAGGTTTTGTGTTATTAGGATACTTAGTTACATTCATATGAGTAGAAGG